TTTTAACTAGGACATCTAAAAACATGATGAAAAATTATGAAACATAAAATATAAATATAAAATTTGATTTGATTATGATCAATCAGCTGTTAAAATTGAACAAAAAATTGCCGATCGTTTTAAAAGAAAAATTGCTTTGAAGATGATATGCAACTTTCAAGGAGTAAAGATATAATTAAATAAATAAAATTAAAAAAAAACTTTTTTATATACCACGCTTATATAAATGGGTTAAAAATTAGAAAATAATATTTCTCAGTCCCATTAAATTTGTTTTGATAACTTTCGATTTTGAAATTTTAGCAAAAGTTATTATAAACCATTTATGAGATTGAAAACGAAAAACGTATGCCCTCCACGTTATGCATTATGGCGTTTTCGAATCTATCGAAAAAGGTTACCTTCTCTTTGCCCTCTACGAACATAAACAAAGAAGACGGCAATGAGAAGGCAACAGTTTTTGTAGAAACGAAAACGCCATTAGATTTAATTGACAATAGTCAAACTACATAACATAGACCAAAAATTTCTACAGAGAAAGTACAAATTTTAGGATCAATTTTAAGCGGTCGTTATTCATATATCCACTTACAAACATATATTACCCTTCATATCAATTCAGGTCTATAACATGCGCCCCACGCTAGTAATAAATAATGTAGTTATATAAACAAGTAATTTTTAGCAAAAAAAAACCGACTTCAAAAAAAATATATATATATTTCATGATCCAATGATGGGATCTTAACCAGATTAGTATGTATTTATGTATGTTATGCGGTAACATACTTAAAAAAATTATTCCGACGAACTGATAACCTCCTCATTTTTCGGAAGTCGGTTAAAAACTAGTTCGTCACGAAATGAAAACAAATTTTATTAGCACACTCCAAATTCATTATAAAATTTTTATATACCCTTGTGGCCAGCTGATTAAGTCAAGTGACATTTTGACTAGTTTTGGATATTTTTTTTGTGTACTTAATGCATATATTTTTTGTATAAAGGTCTAGCACTTAACCTAACCAGCGCCACATTTCAAACTTCATACAAAAATTATGAAAACTCAACAAACTTTAACAATTGCTTTGAACTTTAGAAAATTTTGGGTATGCATGCTTACAAATACAATTGTAGTATATTTAAGGTATTTCGTCCGAAATAAGTCTACATATACATGTATATTGGATTTAAGTAGACCAATGATGCTACCCCATTTTGAAATTGCCACCAACTGCACTGTATAGATTCAAGAACGATTCACTATCGAACCGGACCATTGTTGCCGCAAGAACTTCTTCACGGACATAACGCTTTCATTAGGTCATTTTATACGGAAATGGAGGATATGCCTTCAGATGACCACAAAAGCAAACTTGAACGTGAATTGTTTGTGAAAACGTTGGACCAAATGTTTCAGTAAAAATTTACTTTGGGGCGGAACGAAGTTCGCCTGGTTTGCTATTTTTTTTTTTTATAATAGAAATGTACTGATTACCGTCCCTGATGCATACATGTACATATATGTATATCAGTATGTACACAATATTCGTATGTATGAATATACTAACGTGCATTTCCATACAGCCTATTCACAGGAACAAATCCAAATTTGGAGCAAATGACTTCTGATAACTTATACCATTTAGCGGTAAATATACCAGATACCAAGAACACAGCTGAGATTAGAAAACAATACGGACACATTAAGGTAAGCATACGTATCGAAAGAAATACATATTTTGAAATAAGCGACAACGCGAAAATTAATTCTCCTTGTTTTCGTTCAATGGCACACCCATTAGGTTATTTGTTTAGGTGGAAAGGATGTGCGCATGCTTGAATTGGCTAAATATTTAAATGAAAAGGTTTACGATGGAAATTCGGGAAGTGACTATCAAAAGAATTTATTTGAGGCGGGCCATAGATATGCTGGCTTTATGGTAGTACATACATCTGTGCATAAATAGTTGAAACAAGAAGTGATCAAATTTTTATTTATGCACGTTTTTTACTTTTCTCTACTCATTTGTTAGGTTGGCTGCGTGTTGTGTGTTAGCCATGGCGTTGGCAGTTCCACCATGAGCGTTGTATTGCATGAATTAATTAAATTGGTGCGTTATGCTGAATGCGTTGACCCTGTTTTTATACGAATTGGCACTAGTGGCGGATTGGGAGTTAAGCCCGGCACTGTAGTCGTTTCCAATCGAGGCTATAACGGGTTGTTACGCAGTGAATACGAAATTGTAAGTATTTGTAAAGTTAAACATTAAATATAAAAAAATAAATTTAAAATTAATTATTTAATGGTCTAAGATAGTGGTAGCAAATTGAAAATTTCTTTAGACTTAAATTTTCGAGTATGTTAAGTGGTGATCTTAAACAGTTGACGTTGTGTTATTGTAACGATGTTTTCTAAAGCTCGTTTTACTCACGTTTTTACTTAGACCGAGAGTGTACGGCAGATACACTTCCATGCACTTGAATGGGGTTGATTTTATTCTCGGTTCTTTTAATAAGATAAAAAATCTACATTTTAAACTGTTTTCACAGAATTTGTTTACATTCTATTAACTATCCAACACGCTTTGCAACTTCCGCTTGTACAACCAAATTTCGATTTGATGAAAATCAAAATATTTTAATATTTTCTCTCGCCGTACAGCCAGTGTTGCCGTTGTGCGACTAAAGGGGCAATTTGAACCTTTTTAGGCGCCAATACCCTTTGACCCGACTTTTTGAAAATTTTGATTTTGTTTTAGGAAATGTTAACAGAACCATACTATTAAAAAATATTTCCTCCTGTAAGTACGAAAAAATACACCACTTTAAACTTTTAAAGGAAATGCAACTCTTCTCCTTGCAGCAACTCGATTTCTATGTTTTGTTTAAAGCTTGTCCCGCTATTTTCTTCTTAAATTTAACAATGGAACGTTCTGGCAGGGAACTTTATAATACATGTAAATTTGATTTTGACTTGGTATCTCAGATTTATCTTTTTGCGAGTAAAAAAAAAGTCAAAAATAATATGGTGACCCTTTTTTCATCAATTACCCCTTTTTTGCAACTTTCTGAAAATTCTCAACGGCAGGTGATTCCAGGTGACCACCTTCCATACGGTTTATTAAGGGAGAATGTTCCTGTTCGTGAAGCATCTAGAACGCAACTAATGAGAGATAGGCAAGTGTTATTAAAGTGTACAGAAATGTATTTACTATTTCGCTTTTCTGTTCAAAGTATATGCAAAAATTATGTTTGATAATAGATCGAATGTTGGTGTTTGAACATTGGTGGAGAAGCGTTCGACCTGCTGTCTGAACGTTAATGGGCGGCTTTACCATTTTTTTCGAGTATGTGGCAAGAGTAGAAAATTAAATCTCCGAATTGTCTTTATTTTGAGGAAAATATTTTCTTTCTAAAAGCTGACAAATGTACCTAAAAAACTATTATGTACAATTTGTTACACATTTAACATCACGTCAAATCTGTTTAGCAGTACGAAAATACGACTGGAATCTTCCATGCCTGATTTTGGGATTCAGCTCCCCTAATACGTTAAGCTCTGTTCAAACTTGAAGAACTTTTTGAGTCCCCTGTCTACGTGCTGCTACAACTTACCACCACTCGCTGGGAGCTCTTCTGACTATGCTTCTGAAACATTTTCTCGCCCACACCCTCCGTTTATGTATGCAAGCCAGGCTCTCGCATTCGCTTGGTCTCTTCGTATGTGACCAAAATGTTGACTCAGATTGAAACAGGTTTTTCATGGGGGATGGGAGTAGTAGTGTACCTCAAGCAATGTCAGACGCCGAAGAAATGCAGTATTGAGTTCGGTCTAAAACACACAAATAGAAAAATCTCTTACTAACAAAACTACATATGAGGCCATAAGGGCCAGTGTAGCCTAACGAATCGAAACGGTAATAGCTCGAGGCACACCCTTTTGGTATTCTTTTTGCATTTGTTTTTTATAGATCCTTCTTTCACATGTTACTTAAAAAAATTTAATTGTAGAAAGGCTCGCCAGGGAAGGGGCCTTGACCAGGGTAGGGGCTGGTCGGTAATTCAGCTAAGCCCCCGCACCAACGAAAAGGTGCTTGCTCTTTCTTTTTTAGTGTTGGGCTTTCCGGTGGCAAAAGTTTCAAAGCAAAATCTGTTTTCTCGAATTTTCGTGCTATATAAAGCGCACTCGGTGGTTCAATTACTAAGGGAGGGAAAGAAGAAAATGGCTCCGCACAGTGGTATCACAACGGGCTTTTCCTGCCCACGTGAGCTCCGCGCTCTGCACGGGGCAGCCACTCTAACCTAACCCAACCTAAGGTAAAATCAAATTTACGGGTACAAAAAAATCTACATACGTCGCTAAACTGGACAAAGTTTTGTGATGATCTCTGATAACTTAAAAGACCTAAGGTCGTACTGCAAATCAAGTTTATTATATTCTATGTCGTAGAGGAATCTCTGGAAATCTCTACTAATAATAAGTTCGCCAGATCGCCATGAATTGCTGTAGGTAGAAACAAGGGCTTAGCCAGGTAGGGGCAGAGGGGTCTATAATGTTTAATCCAGATGGATTCACTAACGGCCTCTTTATAACTACGCTTTTCCAATGAAAAGAGTCCAGCTTTTTCGCTGTCTGGAATCTAGATTACACCTATTGTATTCGATTAAAAGTTCCAGTGAAAAGGTACAAAAGAACGCGCAGCATTTTCAACAAATCTATGATCCAGGTATGGGCAGTGAACTAATTCTTTGATACAAATTATGGAAGAAAAAGATCTTGTCTGAAGAAGATTTGAAGGATGTTGAAGTTGTAGATCTATTTAAAGAATAAAGCGAATTTCTACCAGCGATAGATTGTAAGTGTATTTCCATTTTGAGTGCTTTTCCAAGCGCAACAGCTACTGTGGAGTGATCGTTTAGTTCATTTCGAAGAGTAAAAACCTAGCTCAGAAGCACAGCAGGAGAACAAAGGCTTTCTGGACTATGCCTCATGAGCGTCAATAGAAAACTGCGAGATGATTCAGGAGGAAATAATTCAAAACTTTCTGTAAATCGGTATTAGCGTAAAATTAGTAAATAATAAATATATTAAAAAAAATTAAAAAGTATATTTCGTTGGCCCCTCCTTACATCAGATCCTGGCTACGCCCTTGGTTGGAAAGCTAGATGCTGCTTGATGTTATGTTATGGCACTACTTCGTTGAAGCTAAATAATTTCATACGTGGCATTCTTCTCTGGCATTTTTTGATAGATGATCGGAATGACCTTTGTTTACGCTAGCCCCCTTCACCTTAAGCATATTTATTGATAAGAGAATTTCACTTGTAGTTACTCGTTACTCGAGTTCCCTTTTCTCGAGTCCTGTTACCCGTCTCGGATGTTAGGTTTCGCCTTCTGCGAGCACCCAACACTCTACACATTGGAAGAGAACTCCGGGCAACCTTTTGTTACAGCATTTAATTATACTGAACATCTATACATAGTATAAAGGAAAGTCGAGATTTTTTGTACGCGGTAATCTTGAAAACCACTGAAAGTATTTTGACGAGATTTTCTCTAATATATTCTGTATCGACAGGAGAGTGACCCTTTTTACTTAGGGTTGCCACCTGTCTAAAAAAACTATAAGATCCGCACCGTTGTTGGATTAAAAAAGATGAGGTGTCAAACGAAAGGGCCTGTAGAAAAGCACTAATGTTTTTTTTTGAATAGGGTTGCTACCTTTTCATAAAATTACTATATACAATCATAATAAGCGTAGGAATTAGTTTTGCACCATCTCTATCAAACGGAAAGACTTAGCCTCTACATGTGCAATAATGTATTATTTTTCTGAGTAGGGTTGCCACCTATTAAACGATTTTCGCCGTTCGTTGGATTACAAAATGAAATACCAAATGGAAGATTCTGAGCTTCGCATGTACAAAAGCTTTCATTTTTTGAATAGGGTTGCCACCTATTTAAACTTACTATCTTCTGTACGTAGTATAAAGGAAGTCGAGATAATTTGGCCACGCTAATCTCAAAAACTACTGAACGGATTTATACGAGAGTTTTCAAGTATAATCTGTATCGATAGGAATATTATCTTTAGTACATACTTTGAATTCCTATAGGGTTGTCACCTGTCTAAAAAATTATTAGATCCGCATTGTTTGTTAGATTAGAAGAAATGAAGTGTCAAATAAAAGAGCTAGGCTTTTAGATGTTCAATAATCTATTACTTTGTGAGTAGAGTTGCCACTTTTTAAAAATTGTACGAACTTCTTCGCTTTTTGGACTAAAATCTGAGGTAAGAAGTGAAAGGATATCGTCTCTGCATGTGCAATAAGTTTTTATTTTTTGTTTAAGTGGGGTTGCCACCTATTGAAAAATTATGTATGTATAATACGCGAGGACATTTTTTGTTAATGACATTAGATTTGCACAGTTCATTCGATATAAAGAAATGAGGTGTCAAAGGAAAAGGCTTCCGATTTGCAGTAAGGTTTTATTTTTTGAAGAGGGTTGGAACCCTTGGTTGTGCGAAAAATTAAAAAATGTGGGCTGTTCGTTGGATTACAAGAACTAAGGTGCCAAATGAAAGGGCTTGGCCTCCAGATGCGCATTTACATATTATTTTTTAGTAGGGCTGCAATCTGTTTAGTTGTCAATCGCATCGCTAGTATACATACATATATGCATTAAAGTGGCCGTCAGGCACTTACATATACATATATACATACATATATAGTGAAAAGTGAAGTTATTACCTTTCATTTCGTTGAGCAAATTTTCGAATTGTAATCAACCCTCGAAGGACTTCAGGGCTTCGGTACCTCCACGACCCTCGTTTGCGGCGGAATTCAAGAGGAATTCCCGGCCCCCAATTTTATCCCGTCCCGAACAACCTTTATTTCATTCTTGTTATTACCTAATTGCAGGCTATCTTGGGTGAACGCGTTGCGAGACCAGCTTATTTTGACGAGAGATTGCGTAATGACTTGCTCACTTGCGTCGAAGCAGCAGATGCCACAGCAGAAAGTAGTTGGAATATTATCGAGGGAAATACGATGGGAACAGACTGCTTCTATGAAGGTGCAAATAATGGGCGGATTCTTCTTTTCGTACGAAGCGAAAGTCATGAAATTTTGCTATCATTTTCTGTACAAAAATTTAAAATTTAGGATTCGTACGAAAACAAAAAAAATACGCCTTAATATAACGAAATTTGAAACTCAATTATCAATTAATTCATACATATATTTTATACGAAGATACATGTTTTATACTGTTAATTTAATATATGTATAATTAACCATCAAATAATCTTTCAAGTTTTACCTAAAACATGTTTAATGCCTTTTTAATTCCTTATTTTTATGCTAGGACAAGGTCGCCTCGATGGTGCTTCCTGCACTAACGCCAATAATGAGCCTTACACAGTAGCGGATAAATTAAATTTTCTGCGGCGCTGCCATGATGAATGTGGCATAAAGAACATAGAAATGGAGGCACCCCTGTTTGCTTCGTTGACACTGCATTGTGGTATCCGGGCTGCAGATGTATGCGTTACGCTTTTAAATCGGTTGGAAGGAGATCAGGTATGTATTTTGGGGTTTTTTGTAAAAATACTTACAAGCATTTAAATATATTTATATTTAAAATTTCAGATCAGAGCAACAAAAGCGCAATTAAAAGACTATGAAGAGCGTCCCTTTATCCTTCTGTCGCATTTTCTCAAGCGATGTATAGTAAAATCGACACCAAAATAGAACGTGCTTTTATTAAAAAAAAAAAATAACACTTAAGTAACTGTATTTATAAAGAAAGATTTGTGGCCTTGTTTTCAAGAAAATAAATGTTATATTTTTTATTAATTAAGCATCTAATAATATTTAACATTGAGCTAATTTGTATTAAATTCATAAAGAAAAGGGGGAGCATGTGATGTTAAGCTATGGTTGTTTTAAATCTCTTGGATCAAAATTTTCCTCTTAGTCGTGGATGTATCATTCGGTAGCCTTAACTCGGTTTGAAATTTAGGCGGTTGCTTGTTAATAGCAGTTAGTTCTTTTGGTGTGTCCTTTTGCCCTTTTTGTTGCTTTTGTGTTTTAACGGTTTTCATATTGCTCAATGCAGCAGCTGCAGTGGCTAATTTATTTTTAACTAAGCGATTCGGTTTAATCAAGTCTGATAAATCATAATCGTTCGGTTTTGTTTTGAGCGGATTTAAAGCAGCGCTTGGAGTTGAAACTGACGACTCCACAAGCCGTGTGGTACTAGTCGTTTGTTTTTCAATGATTTTAGATTTTTTATTCTTCTTTGAAACTTTGCCGTCGTTCATAGATTTTGTTTTACTCTCCTCTTGAATTTGTAGACGCGTAGCAGTAGGGGGTGGTAAATCGCCATACAAACTCTTTAGTTCTGCTATGGCTCTTAAGGCAGCGGCATTTCCGGGCTCCAATTCCAATACTTTCAGGTATAATGCATACGACTGAAGGGCAAAAGAAAATTTACTTTTTTTTTAAGTACGTAAAACATTTATTTACTATACATGCATATATGTATATACATATACATAGTAAAAATTTTTGTCTTTGATCTAACGAAATATATCAAGAGATAGCGGGTGAGTTAAATAAAAACTTTTCTCCACTCGTTCCTCGATCTCAAAATTTTGACCATACGCACATACATATGTATGTATGTATATATACATATGTATATAGATATGTAGGTACGTATGTATGCAATTAAGCCATTTTACCTCTTGCCTTTCTCCGTCACAATAAGTCGCTTCTGCTAGCCTTAATCTGGCCTTCAGGTTATCTGGCTCCAACTGAAGGCATTGTTCACAATCTTTAATAGCGTCGGAATACCATTTAAGTTTTATTTCTAAAGAAAAGAAGATAAAACGGAGCTAGTAGCATTATGTATGTCAAATCACTGGTAAACATTTAAAATATCTTACTGGTTAAAGGTTAAACTACGTAGTTGCGAAATATACGAAAAGCTATTACTGAAGCCGAAGTTCCACGGAGGTGTAACTGAAAATATACGAGTTCGTTGGTCCGTCGACTATATTCTGCATAGGAATTGTCGCGTGCTCCGTACCAACCCCTCATCATAGTCGGACGATGGGTATGGAGGTTTTTTTTTTAATACAAAAAAAAAAAAACAAAATTAATTTTTTCGGTAGTAATTGGTTTATTCGAAATAGAAAACATTCCCATTATTTATGGAACATGAATTCATTCATGTGGCATATTTGGAATTCGCTGCCTGTGCTACTTTATGTACACAGGCATGAAAAAAATCGTAACTTCTACAGTTTTGGTTTTTCCATTCTAAAATTTTTACAGTGTACTCCATAAAGTTTGACAAGTATTAAGAATGCAAAAAAAATGACAAACAAAAAAATATGAAACATTCAAATTTTTAATGCAAAACTTATTTGTTCAAATCCATCTCGCACTCTAATGGAAAGCCGAGGTAATTACGCACATTTTCATGACTTAACTGATTTTCTGCGACCCATACATAGTCCATTAACTGCAAAAAACTGAAAGAGACTTCTCTGTGAGTTCAAAATTTCGGGAATTTTTTTAGAGATTTTCGAAAATCATGACGAAATAAAAAAATAGGTGTCTTATTTTTTTCGATAAAGAATGTAAAAAAAATATTTCACATCAAAAAAATATTGAGGTGTAAATTTTCTAAAATCTTCCTTAAACGAGCAATTCTTGTATATACATATATACATAGTGTTCTCGCAAACGGCTCTAACGATTTTGATGAAATTTTGTACACCGATAATGTTTTGTATTTTAAGGTTATCTCAATAGGCATTACTTCAGAGAAGACTCGTATAAGGTTGCCGCTTATTCGAAATTAGTTACAAATTATTTAAAACATCTTAATATGGGTATCAAATGGAGAGTATTTTAAAGATCCACAATTCAAAAATATTTTTAATAGGGTTGCCACCTATTTTGAACAGAATATTTATTTAATTTTTTGTTTAGAAAAAAAGGTAACCAATTCTATTCATGGGTACCAAGAGAAGGTTCTTAAACAATGCTTTCCCTATATACAAAATGTTATCTCTTAGGATAATTATATACCATAAATATACATATATCAAATTAAGCATATAAAACTTTTTTATGCCAAGTATTAATACATTTTCCAAAGGGCTAAAAAAATGGGTAGGGGCAATTTTAAATTTATGTGGCCAAAAAAAGTATGTGGTTGCTAAATCTAGCCACCAAAGGGCTAAAACGGCAACACTGCTCCGGGCAAAGCTTTGTCAACCCGGTGCTTTTGTATGGAAGGACTCAAATGTATGTACATACTTATGTACGTATCCAGTGGGAAATGTAATGTAAAGTAATCGAAAAAATAATCAGTAAAACAACCCTTTTCACATTCGAAAATTCATTTTTTCCCCAGGACGATGTCCTAAGAAAAGTGGGGCATTCAATTTTGCATTACCTAGTATCGAGAAATGAATGTGTGTTTTAATATGACATTTTTGGAACTTTTTGAATACATTAGCATGCTGATTACATAGTTAGCAGTAATATTATCGAGAACGCGTAAGAAATACATTATATTATTTATCCCGCATCTAATGCATTACTACTTTTCCAACTGGGTAAATACTTACTCGCCGCGGCACGATTGTTGTACGCTGGCGCCGCTTTCTCTGGACAAATGTTAATGGAGAGATTATACTCGTTAATAGCGTTATCATATTCCTTAGCGCGAAAATAGTCATTACCACGCAGTCGATATCTGTAAATTCATTAAAAAATTAATGTGCGTGGTTCGAATATACATATTTATCTAGAAAATGTGAACTCACTGTTCTGAAAGACTCTCCCGTTCCACTGCGGTAAGTTTGCTTTTCACGTCGCGTTCCTTGGCATCCCTGCCACCTTCAACATTTCGCTGCGTTTTGGATTTTTGTTTATTGAGTCGATTCTTGCGTTCAATCTCTTCCTGCACGCGCTCTTCTGCTAATTCCATACGTATACACTCCTCATCCGCATCGTATTTATCCCATTTTTGGTAGTCAGTCGATTTTATACGGTCGCTAGCCTTTTTTATAGTTTTGCTTTCCTTGGTGCGATCAATGGCGCTTTGGGCTGACACCGAATCCGCCCTTTCGCCTGATTGTAAGATAGGGCCACCTTTGCGCACTGGGGGAACATCTAGATCAGCTACCATCTTCTCAGCAACAGATAATTCCTTATCTTTTACTTTTATATTATTTGTCCATTCCTAAAGTGAGGGAGTATACACAGATACATACATACATGCAAATGTCCAAAGCGCCTTATTTGAAAAATTTTAAATTTTATAGGAGAAGCAAAAGACTTTAATTTGCAAAGTAAATGTTTGCTGAGCTATTCCAAAGATACTTTTTTTAAGATACGACTTTGAATTTTAGTACATCATTTTAGTACAGGGGTGCATACATGGCTGAGAGCTACGTAACGGTATATCTCTACTTATCTGTACTTATGTATAAAATACCAAATATGGATTTTTGTATTGATGTTGACGATATGTACTCTTGCCCTTTACACTTACGTAAATCGGTTTCCAATCTTGATTGGAGAGCGCCTCACGGCCTTGCAATTTTTCCTCATAGCGAAAGAGGCGACTGTTTGGTTTCAATTCACGTAACTTATCTTCAGCGCATTTTGTGAGATCTGGAAAATATCCTTCTTCACCGGAACGTAAAATTTGTACGATCTTTTCCATTTCCCGCGCGTTTTTACACTCACGAATATAGGCGAAATCCAAATGGTGCAATGGAATTTCATACTTTTCGATAAGTTTAGTTTTCCTTTCCTTGTCTGCCATGGTGGTGGAGCGGTTAAATGTTCCTCGGGTCTAGTGAGTTTGCTAAATTAGATACTTATGTATCTTGTTTATTTCGTTTGAAAACTCAAAAACAAAAAACTGACACCGTCTTTATATTTCTAAAGCTACTTTGGTGCCGAATCGATTAAACAATTATTATTGAACTGGGCAACCATGCCAACAGTGATTGCAACCACTGAACTTCGTATTCCACTCGCAACTTGTGAGACTCTATTTGTGGTTAGGTGGTTGCAACGATAAACCACCCAGCAAACAATTTCGATTGCAAGAAAAAATTCCGTAACTTAATCGCTGCTCTCGATATTGGTACATTGTCCTATGAGAACTCAAGATTCAACATAATTTCTTGTGTTTTTTTAGCTGAAGCGATTTTCAATTCCGGACTAGATCTGGCTCGTCAAAGTGTTTGATGGATGCGATAATCCAATAACAACACCAATAACGTAAACGCTCCTACGTGAGTGGTGTAGCCACTAAAACAATCCCTCCTTCTACCCTGGATATTCCTTTACCCTGGAACTACTTTCGCATTACTTCAAGGTGCAGAATCTAGGATGAACACTACTGGGTAATTTTCAACTCTACCTGCGTTCAGGGCCGCCAGGTTTGAAGCCAGCAGCAAGCCATTGGCTCGACTTCTCTTCTTAAGTATTAAATATCGTGTAAACTTATAGTTTCCAGTTTGTGTTTATTGTACGTTGTATTCTTTTTACAAAAGTATGATGTTCTCGGTTATTGCCGGGCCTATAAAAGCCTCTATTTCTGACCAATAGATACAGCTCGGGTTGTCTACTTTTTTTTATTGTGTCGAGGTATTTCCGAAAGTATTCATGACCGGATAGCAGCTGTTTTAAGTAGTAGTTCACCTCACCGTGCCTCCTTTCAATCCCTTTTCATCAGCCTCCCATCTTCTCTGCTCGGCGGCCATTGAATTATTATTTATTGCTTGTACTCTTCTTTGCGAGAGGTTCGCGGATAATTTTAGTGTGTAAAACTTCATGCGCTCGTCGGCATTCGATTCGTTTGAGATCCGATATTAAATACTAGAGCTGCAGCATTCGATTTTAAAGTGTCTGCCCATACTTCGCTCCCGTTAAGAAGGAGATGGAGAGATTTATTTCCATTAGCAGTTTACGCCTCACTGGTAATGGTCCGTTAATGTTCTCCCAGTGGAAATCTTTACAGAAAGTCAGTATCATATATCCGCGGAAAGTAATGAATCATTTTATGCTTGAACAACGTTGGGAAATAATGCAAATTCGAGCAATTCAGAAAGGTTAACGATGTTGATCGACAAATAATCTTTTATGAAGCGCATTTTTATCTCCGCGGCTGTGTTAACAAGCAAAACTGCCGCATCTGGGGATTGGAAAACCCGAACAAGGCCGTCGAGAAACGAATGCATCCTCAGAGAGTGACAATATACCGAAAAAATTGTATTAACTTAATTTTTTTGAATTTTTAAAAGGAAACCACTGGATGGACCACCCTGTATATTAGAAGATATGCATATTACTAACTTCTTCCTTTCTGAAATTTTCTCTATTACATGCATTCAGGTTTTCGGTCATGAAGAGAACCATGACTGTCTTAGCAGGATTGGCGTTTGGTAGGCTCTTCTTTGTCCAGGTTTCAACATAGAGCATTGCGTAAAACTTCGCTAAGAACTTGAGGTCATTTACCCACTGTAGTTAAAGGCAATGGTTTGAAGTGCCCTGTAAGCAGATTGTTTGATGGTTATTTCCATTGTGCCAATTCCGCATACTCGTGTAGAAGTCTGATGAATTCTGTTTTGGGTATATCCACAGTGCAAAAAGTGGGACTAGGTTAAGTATTGTAACCAAAATGGTCTAAATATATGGCGAAAATATGGTTACATTAACATTGCGATGTCATTGGGCTTGACCACCTCTGGTCGATCGCTGCATAACATGGGACCACTTAGACAACTACCCCTTATGAAACATGACACATTCGACAACCGAGTCATATTGCCGATCGGCCACGAAGAGGTGGTGTTCAACACATATATCAGTTTTTTGCGTTTGAAGTGGTCCAGGTCAGCATAACAAGTTACTAAGTAGTAGGCAACCTGGTCCTTTTGCTCATACCCAGTGGACCACCTGGTGGTCATGTAAGTAATATATATTTCCAGCTGACCCGGCGAACTTCGTCCCGCCCAAAATTTTTATTTATTTTTTTGACACATTTAATCCAACGTTTTAACCACAATTCAAGTTGAAGTTTAGTTTTGTGGTCGTCAGAAAGCATATCCTCTATTCCCTTTTTAAATATCCTAACGAAATCGTTATGCCCATGAAGAAGTTTTTGCGGCAACAATGATCCGGTACGATGATGAATCGTCCTTGAATCTGTATAGTATAGTTGGTTGCAATTTCAAAATGGGGGAGTTACATTGGTCCACAGAAGTCCAATATCCATAGAATTATTTCAGACCAAATATCATAAATGTCTTACAATTTTATTTGTAGGCATTCTTCAAGAATTGCCTTTATTCTGTTTCGTCGCCGTAAATCAAGGACCGCAATGGTTATGGTGGTAGATTTAACGGTGGTAATTTGACTTTGATGACTGGTGTCTCCGGACTTCACCTGACGATTTTTAGCAATAACTCGAATCGAGCGGCATTCTGCGAATCATCTTGGCAATATTATTGTCCCCACTGTTACCAATATTTATCTCGATTATGAGGCAAATCGGATCAAAAATACGATTTCTAGTAATAATTCGACTCCAGAACACTGTCGAGCAGTTTTTCTCGCTGAAATATTTCCCTTCACGTTACCAGTACATGTTTTGAATATTAGCCATGAAGTTGTGAGCCTAAACTATGCAGGAACCCGGTAAACACGTAAAAACTTGAATTCAAATTATTTCGTTCGTTTAGAACAGAGATTCCCAAACTTTTTTTCTCGTAGAACCCTTTCTAAACTCTAATGGTTTGAGTGGACCTTCTAGATCTTACGATGTAAATTTGCATGACCAAGGTGAGTGCTATAGCTGGTTGCGGATCGAGGAACGCCTGATCTAAGCCAACTGTGGCCAAGTGGTCAGATGTCTCATTAGCAGGTACTCTCGAGTGACCTGGCACTCAGAGTAAAGTAAGATCCTTATGTTTACCAACATAATTTAATAGAGACTTGAGTTTCCGAACCAATCTGAAAGTACTTAGTTAGAGGGCTGGCCAATGCCTTAAGTGCAGCTTGGCTGTACCTGCAGACACGTAAACTCCTTGCCCTCCTCCACCTATTTTCCACCATGTAGCCCATGGCTTTGAAGATTGCATATACGAGCCTGGAAGGCCGAAGCATATTCGCCACGAGAAAAGTGACGCTTTGTACCGTTAATTTCGATAAAGATCTGAGATCCTAACCTAGAGTCAGTTTTGTAGCCATCAGTAATGTGTGAGTCCTGGCTCAGAGCTGGAATTAAACCAGCATTTACCCTTAGGGGGATTTTTATGAGAAGCGGATTTTAATGGCAGAAACACACTCGGAGCTTTGCCTATTATTGAATGGAATCGGCGGGTCAAATGCTAGCCAAAACCGGGTAATCTTACAATCTATGAAGTACAAGAGGTATCTAACCCTGCTTTTAAGTGCTGTTGACTTGACGATGCAACGCTTTTCTACACATTTTGCTGCCAAAATGCGAAACAGAGAGTCTACTTTCCCGTGTTAATAGCCAGAAATTCATTTTTGGAGATTTGCAAAAATCACTTTCAAGATGCAACTGCCATTGAAATTGCGCAAATCGCTTTCGTCAAATACTTACTTGTGCTGCACTAGCTATTTTAATTTTTGCTGCAAGTCTTGTCAAACCATTCGGGTGCTGTCGTGTGACGCGATTTTTGGTAAATTTGAATATATATATGTAGTTTTAAAAATGTAGCATCATTAAAAAAAATACTTGGCTGTTTTAGTGGGCATTTTTAAAAACATCTTGTAACATAGTGGAGAGTGGAGTTCTCTGCCTTGGCACTTTTTGAAGTTATATTGAGACAAACACGAGCTGCAAAGCAAAACAGATTAACCAGAAGATGCCTGCTTCATCTGTCAGTATGACGAAAGTGGAATATTCGCGAAAAAGATAAATATTCAAGAATATTATTTAAAATTAATTTTTCTAGGTTTTTGGCCGACCTTCTACTCCAATTTGTGATGTGTGTTTTAATTTTTTACACAAATGGGGAGACGTAAAGTTTAAGTTATTGGCAAATTAAAAAAAAAAATCAACCGATGGCAAAATATCAACATCTTCCCAATATATTATCCACCACTGTATGCATATAAAAGTTTTGTGTTTATAGTTTCTTTTTTTTGTTTCATTTATTTCATTTCGAACTGATATACGAGATAAATATACATATACTAACTATTAGAATTTTTTTACTTTTTTGGTTTTGCAAATCCATACAAATTTAACAGCATTTATGTGCTATAACTTTTGGGCTGCTGTTGTGTGTTCTTTGAATTGGAATAAAACGCATTGTCGTGGCAAGTATTTGCAATACACCCAAAAATATACAATTTAAATAGGTTTTTTAGTGCTTTATATTTATTATGACTATGTATTTTAATTATATTTTTAACTTATGTCTGTACATATATCTATTATCGTGCTAAAGTTGTAATAAAATAGTGTTCACATTTTTGCAAGTTGTTATTGTAAACTGTAATTTTTATACAAGTACAAGTAAGTTAATTTACATACATACATATGTAAGTATTTCAACATAGGAACATCACTACAATTATTAAATTATATATTTTCTTTAATTGTAATGTGGTTATAAAAGTAGTCATAATTAATTAATTTATATATTAAATTGTATACAAATATGTATGTATATTAAAAATACAAATGTTATATGCATTTTAGAGACCTGATTCTTCGACATTTGAAATTACATATTAAATAAAATATATGTACATACACACGAGTATGTATTTGTATGGTTGCGTGTGCAGATGCTTGGGTGTTATAATGTGAGTAGATAAGTAAATAAGTTTTACATTAATAGTATACGGTAAACTAAAATATTAACAATAGTATAGTTAAAATTAAATCGTTTATATGCGCGTATGTATGTATCTATCTGTGATTTATTTATGAGCGAGACTTTGCGCGTCAGGCTTTCAAGATCCTAGAACGGCTAAATACTTTTCCTAAGCAAATTATTTATTAAATTTTGTGTCCATGGCATTAACAAAGAACGTAGATAATAAGAACGGACAACTCGTTATAATTGCAGAGAGTGTGAGTAACAGGCGCGTGCCTTCTCGTTTGACCTAGTACATTTTTTGATTGGATAAAAAGAGAAAGCACCCACTTTCGCTATAATTATAACGAGTTGTCCATTCTTAGTATCTACGTTCTTTGGCTTTAAAATACGTTAAATTTGGTATGAAAAAAAAATACACTGAATAGTGCCTCATTAAATTTGTAAAAATATTCATGCTGACGCGCGTATGAGTATACGATTTCGATGAGCAAATAAATAATTTGAAAAGAAAAACACTAACAATACATACAATATAATCTTACAAGGCCAAAAATCAAATCATAAAATCCAAAATTAAAATTTTGTTGTAAAATATTTTCATAAATACTCGTTTCTGTTGCACCAACAACATTCAGATTACGCTATTTAAGCAGTTAGATAGGCAAATATTCATCCAAAAAACTATTCCGTTTGAAATAGGTAGTTGAGAAAATATACTTCATTCACTTATACAAATATATCACTTTTTTGCAAAACAAATTTTCGAAAAAATAAAAGGCTATTTAAGTTTTTAATGCACAATTCTTAAATACTTGTGCTTAATATCTTTTGTCGTTTTGCAAATTCTAAAGCTCCCTATTCGCTTCTCGTACACACCATTTCTCACTTAAACTATACACACTCCTCTCTAAAGTAAATACAATCTATCGCACCTGCATACACATATACATACATGTGCATACGTATGTGCTCCTCAAATAGATTTCTAAGCGTTTTTTATGAGTGCCTGTTTTTCGTTTCGTTCCCCTTTCGTTCCTTATCATTCTACTTTAATGTAAATTAAAATATATTCATATGAAATTCGCTGACTATCGCCTCCAGGAAGCCTTTCAATTGGTAATATGAACGATTGCGCCAATAAATATTATTATTCACCCGCTCCATGGCCAGGCCAATGGCTTCCTCAACTGCTGTCAATCCCAGTTTGCGTGCGCGATCGGCAAATTGTTGCAGCTGTTCCTTATGGTATTCCTTATTCATGTAAGTCGTTATAGATTTGATCATTGAGGAGAGCGTAGAGAAGCCGTCACCAAAACTGTAAAAAAGTGATAATTAACGAATATTGTTAGAGATTGTTAACTTTTTGCAAATGTTCGAATGCGTACTTTATACAAAGACGATTCTTGACATTTGAATAACTCAGTGAGAGAGGAGACCAGTCTGTTAGCATGATATGAGCACTTATATAAAAAAAAATAATATTTATTGCACCAAAAAGTAGTGGTTAGGCACTGTGGCCAATGGTTACCAATAGTTACGCCCTTTGAATGGTTGTAAGTCATGCAGAGTCCGCAAAAAAAACGCCGGAAGCATTGTCCGGAGGATGCCTCAGACAAGGCCTAGCATACTTTGAACTGCCATCAAATTATAACTTAAGAAAGTTTTATTATGTGGCATTTGCGAAGTGCACATTCAAACATTTTGTTAATTTAACAAAGGAAATTTTTGCACATGTAGCAGTGCATAGCATGGATTTAGGCGCCTACTTCCATATAAAACTGATTTGAGTTCCAGGGCACAGTGATATAGCAGGAACTGCTGTGCCGATGAGCCAATACTAATGAATAGGATACATATGGCATGCTGCGGCCTTTGTCCGCTCAGCGAATACTGGGTGGAAACATCGACATGCAAAATTGCAAGGTCCCTTTCGTCGGTCAACGTACCTTCTGCAGGTTACTAAGCGAGAACTGTTGGTTTTGGTGGGGTGTTGACTGTGCCCACTGGGAATTTGTGCAGTACGTCTTAATACTTCTGCGGACTCCATTTGCAGCAGACCTCTGGGGGATAATCAGGTGGAACTATGTCAGCACTACCTTCTCAGCTGACTTTCTTTCGTAAATCCCAGGTTTAAACAGTACTTCATAATGGCTCCAGAGGAATTGTCAAGAGTGGAAATAAGCTGCTTGCCGAACTTCACAACGAGCCGACAGCACTTTTCTAACCTTATTTGATTGCGTACCGTTTCGGCATAATCGTTTTTTTTAGTGGTAACACAATGGACATTCATTAACTGTCTAAGTGAGCCACTTGGAGGCTGCCTTACCTAACCTAACCCCTACTAAAATTGGATGCTTAACACTTTTGTGAACATTTTAACCCTGTAAGTGCCATTCTTTCCAAATCGAGCCACATTGACCACCGGTGATTTAACACTTCCCTCAGGCTTAGAAATCATATTGTACATATCTTGTATTGGCCTTACAGTGTTAAAAAAAGAGTTGGCCACCTGGCAACAACTGGGAAGTTTTTCCTAAGTTTTGTAGTACTGCTTTTCCTTATATACATACATATATATGATTCGAAACTTACTATTCTGCAATCTCTTTGATGTTCGATTGTAAGAAATCAAAAGCGATCTCATAACCGATCGGATTCATGGAAACGGCGCTGAAAGCGCGTGCGCCATCCTGTTTCAATATGCCAGATGTTGGATTGAGGGTCATATTCAGATATCTGCAAACATATTAATATTCAACATTTTTAATAAAATACATATGTATAAGTATGCTATAACTTATAATTATTTTCCCCTTTCACTTACTTCGAGAGTAACCACGGCTTTGTAGTGCAACCCAATGAGGTCAGTATTTGCTCCTTTTCTGAGGCGCTTGTTGTGCGCTTATATTGCTTGTAGGCGAAGTACCACTCCTGGAAGGAACCTTCTGCTAGCGCTGTGCAATAAATGGTGGACTTGAGATTTGGCTTAATGCTATAAATAGAGAAAAAAATAGTATATGTACATATATGTGCATTTCACAAATAAATGTACTTACGGATTCAATTTGGCGTCACTCATCCATTCGCGATACTTCCGATGCGCTGCCATTGTGCAGCGATCATAGTTAAATCTGCATGCAAGGTTGGCAATGTTGGCGCGATGTTGCAACTGTATGTGCGATTCATTATCTGGTTCGTTCAACCCATAACGATCGAATGCAGGACGAACGATGAATTTCATAAATGCCTGCGGAGAGAAAGAACTAAGCAATTTACATTTCAATATAGAAACCCCATATTGCGGTACATACCCTAAAAGTTTCATATGCAGGTTCGCGATGCAGCATGAATATGAGGTAGTTGAGCCCGCCCTCCGACGCCTGCCACAGCAACTCGTCATCGGTGGCTGTAAAAATTTCCATTAAGAAGGTAAGCGGTATATCGTAGGTCAAGTATTCCGCACGTGCCAAGTGCAATGCATCATCCAATAGTTGCGCACGCGTTATACGTGGCAATGTTGTAAACTTCTTCTTCAACGCCAACCAAGAGGGCATATCATAATTAACACGGTAGTAGCCTTGACGATTTAAATTCACATACACAACATTATCCGAGTTATTATCGGTGGTGAAAGCTTCACTGATAATAATTTGCCGGTCGCTCTCCGACATCCAATGGGTGGGTATGTTATCGCCTTTGTGTAGCTCATCCGTTTCAAAGGTGATAGGTACAACCCAACGGCTATCGTCCGACATATTCTTCGACGGTAACATATAACGCTCTTGCGTCAGCACCAAGTCACCATCACGTCGCTCCACTGTGATAACTGGGTAACCCGGCTTCGTGATCCATGAATCCATAATAGTCTTAACGCGCAAATCGTCAGGTAAAGTTTTTCGCTCATGACCGTGTCGTGTCATGTATGCCCACAATTCATCGCGATCTGCATTGCCATAGGCGTATGTTTTCAGCAGATCTTGTGTTGCAGCGCGGAATGCTTCATCGCCTACAATCGAATTCAGCATACGCAACAGTATATTACCCTTCGAATATGTAATCGGATCGAAGATACGACGTATGTCATTTGTCGATTTCACATCGAAGGCAATGGAATGTGAACTATTGTCTGCATCTTGTAGCATAGCATCGGCAAACTCGAAAGTAGTGTAAGTGTCTAGAATTTGAAATTCCGGACGTATCGCATTCAACGCCAAGTAGCTCATGTAGCAGGCGAAGCCTTCCTTCAGCCAAAGATCATCCCACCATTTAGGTGTGACCAAATTGCCAAACCACTGATGGGCAAGCTCGTGTGCGACAACCTGTGCAACATGCTCCATATGCGCGGATGAGGATGCTCTATCGAGATCTTCTGGCACCAGCAATGCAGAATCTCTGAAAGTTTTTAGAAATTTAATAAAGCAAGGGGTGAACTTCCGACATATTAAATAATACATCTCTTAATTTAGTGAATATCTCTTTGAATGTTAGACTTTTAATTTGACGGCATTATTAGTTAATAGCCTAACTCGCCAATTAACTGACGGTTATTTTCTCAATTAAGCTTGTCAGCTATTGCTGCTTAATTAACTTAGCGTTGCATACCACATGAGATCCAATTAACATACATATCTTATTCAGCTGTTATTTAAGTAAACGTGCGGTGCTTCTTTATTGTCGCTATAACTGCTTAAACGATTTTTACCGATATCACACTAGCACGATAGTTGTTTCTCTTTCTCGCCAGCTGCCATCAGTTAGAAACACAGTGTGATGCTGATCCTTTCAACACAAAATAAGCAAGCCATCCTCTACCAGCACTAATGGCTACGGCAGCAGGGCTCGAGCCAAACTGGTACTAAAACTTTGAAAATGTTCCTAATTCGCAAACTCACCTGAACGTAATCAAACCCCAATTCTCCATAGCACTAAAGCCAAAATCCGGTATCGATACCATATCGATTTTCGACAACCGATTCTTTATGCCGAAGTATTCCTCGTAGAAAGGCAAGAACTTTCGCACCATGGAATAAGCATAATTAGTCATTTCAGTATTCTCGGGACGTGTCCAGATTTCGACGCGTGGTATTAAGTTTGCGTCCAAGTCAGAGTAATGAGATTTCACCAGATTCGAAACGACAAAGGCGAAGCTATAGATGGGCATTTTTGGGGAGGTTAAGAAATCGTCACGTGTGAAGCCGGGTCGATGGGTACTGAAAAAAAAAAACAAAATATTAAAAAAAAAAAATCAATGTACACACACACATACCTACATATACATGTACATACACATGTTTCTAAACAAAAAATTAACTTACGAGCTATGATAGACTGGCATGTTGGATAATGCCATGCCCAATTTATTATCGCGTATAATACTGATGGTAAAGTTGGCCTTCATGTCTGGTCGATCAAAGCAAGGAAAGGCGCGACGTGCGTCCACTGGCGAAAATTGCGTGCTGACCATCCATCTGCGCGAAACAAAAGGGGGAAAGTGAATATTAAATACAATCGTTTATCTTCGATATTTTCCCTTTCTACTTACTCTATCTTGTTGCTTTCCAAATTCGTGTAGCTTGTCCTGTACACACCCTGCAGCGTATCGGTTATTTGGCTGACAAAATCCATGCTCACTATCAATTTAACATTCCGCTCATCTTCAATGCCCTTATTGATGGCAACCACAAATGTTGAATTGTCCTCTCCATATTTACCATCGAAGTCCAATTCGATTTCATCGCTCGTGGTATCATTTTTAGGCGACCGTATAACGCGCACATTCGAAATGGAAATATTGTGCACATCGAGCGTAATCGGAAGTAAAATGGGGATGTTGGCATCGCGTTGTACCTCAATAGAAATACTGCCATTGCTGCTGGCGGTGAGTATATTGGGTTCTATGACGATGCTGAAATGAAGAAAATAAAAAAGAGTTGAACTACATATTCATGTCTAAGCTTATACATATGTATGTACATATGTGCAAATCTCACGAGTTGTATGTTTTTCGACAAAAACGCGCTTTTGGTCGAAAATTATGTTACGCCTATCTTAGAAAATGTATTATCTTCAGTTTTGTATAAAGAACAAGATTCAATAGTGAAATTGTATTCAAATGAAAAATTAAAGAAAATATAGTAAAAAAGTAAAAATAACTAGAGTCCGACCGATTAATCGGCATCGGCATTGGCTGGTATCGGCACAAAATTGAGCATCGCCATCGGCCTTTTTCGACGATTATTTGCCGATTATTTGAAATTTCTTTTCATATGTTCAGGTGAAGCGACAGACAACAGCCAACATAAAAAAACATTTGCAGACACTCACAAAAATTAGGTTTTTTTTTGGTTGAAGATGTTTCACGTTTTTTCCATACAAAAGTATTTTCGACAATTTTCTTTTATATAGAGGACACTACCAGTAAAAAAAAATTGCCAAAATTTAACGGAATTTTATAGAAGCTTAAAGCTTGCACTTCATTATACTACTACAAAACTGCATACCAAAATTCTGATAAAAAAGTTTCAAATTTTGGTGAAAACCAGCAGAATCTTTCTAATTTTTGTACAAAGTTTGAAATCTAAATTTATATGGTGTTTGTTGCACATATACCAGCTAGACTTTTATAAAAAAAAGTAATAATAAACATTAAATAACCAAAGACAAATGCCAGGATCAAAACCGGTCAAAACATCGCAATTCTTCAATTTTGTGGACCGCTATATGTATGTACGTACCTAGCATATAAGTTCTTATGCATTGAGTGCAACAGAGTGTATTTTAGTACAAAACGAAATGAAATTTTATGTTCCTAATTATTTCTTGCTTAGCACCATATAAAAAAGTGTTTCATGTAATGTATATAAATGTGATATATGTTTGTACATATATTTTTAACCAATTAATTCAATTAATTGTTTTATTTTGCTCTGTTAACTCGTTAAATTACCTGATTTTATGAATTAATACATTTATTTGTAATTTTTTATGGAACCGGCATCGGCATCGGCATCGGCCGATTCTTTCCCCATAAGCCTATTAATCGGCACCGGCATCGGTACCTGAAAAAAAAATTGGAATCGGTCGGATTCTAAAAATAACTACTCATACTGTAGTTGCATATGTAACGTATACGGCCCGTAACACCATGCGGAGTGATCTAACACGTTTACTTGCACGCCTTAAAGCTCAGTTAGTCTAGACTTAACTTAATTTAACTTACCATAAGAAATCATCAATGATTACTCAACACGTCAACTTAAGCCAGAAGCGAAAATATTTTGTTTTTGTATTTGTATTTTTCAGATCTTTGACAGTTAGCTGCCTAACAAAAATGCCATATCAAAAAAAATGCATGAAGAAAAAATTGGTTTGCAGGTTCTTAATTTGCTTACGGCAAGTTAAGTTTTAACTAACCGCCAACACAGTTTCTCATGCAACAGGTAGGCCAAAATTAGAAGTTAAGTTGAGTTGAGTGACTTAAATTAAGTCGACTAACTGAGCTTTTAACTTAAAAATCATATTATTTAAAAGTAATAAAATAATTTTGACTAGATTTCTCTAATTTTCTTTTGTTTATTTAATGTTAATATTTTTTTTTTTATAAAAGCTTAGCATTTTACCTAACCAGCGCCATATAAATCCAATTCTTATGTTTCCATTGTATGGATGATTTTAAATATTTTATGTTGTTTTAATTTTTATAACAAGCATCATAAAAGCGGCGTTGCACAGAAACATTACTGAAAATAAAGGTTAACATCCATAAAAATAATATGAAACAAAAGTTTATTAATTTCGGCACAAAAAAAAAACGATTTTATTGCAAACATGACACCTACTCCAGCGTTTAACTCGTAAATCAATATAGTCAATGACAGCTCATAAATGAGCAATTTTATTTTTGCATACCCATGCATTCAAATACATACATATTAGGGATGCCAAATATGCGGAAAATTGTGATCTCGGATTTTCGGGATATTTTTTAGGTGCCTAATCTTGGAATCATATTGAAATCTAACTTTTATGAATATGAGAGAAAAGTCTATAACTGAAAGTATTTAAACATACCATGAAATAAAACTATTTAAAATTTACGATAAACTTACTGTTTAAATCACATATTTATTAATACAGCAAAATTTTTAAGGGATACATTTTTTAAATTGTATTTTAAAAACTATGTGATTGAGGAACGCATACATCACAAATAACAATGTAAATACCAGGTACTTTTGAAAGTAATGATTTATAACAAAAAACTTAAAACAAAAATTTGCAAAACAAATTCTCTAAAAATGTTTGTTCTACTCCTTAAAAAATGGCGAATGGCGAATTTTTTGCAATTTTTTTCTAAATTTACTCGAAATTTTGAGGATGAACGGGTCAAACGGACCTCAGAATCAGAACCCCTTTTTTGTGCCGGTGTTTTTATTATTTCACTTAAAATGTGTACGTAAGAGCACCAAAGTATTTAAAGCGGAGTCTTCTAATCTTGACCTGAACTTATTACATACATTCTGATGGAAAACATTGTTCGGCCTCAACACTTTTATTACAAAATATTTGAACTTCTTTTACCTACCAGCACGTCGGATAAATTGTAAGTTTTTCGAATTGAGGAATTTGGGGTAGATTGATTTAAAAATTATGTAACTTTTCCCAAAATTTACATTAGCGGCGTTATGACTACATTAATTTAAATCTTCTACAAAAAAAGCTCAGGCTGCAATTTTAAAATTGTTGATTGTAGTAAAAATGGCACACTTGAAATTCATAAACAAGTTCTTACTATTAATTCGATATTTTATATTTGTTGGGATCCCGGGATTGGCATCCCTAATACATACATATACCATGCACCTATAAAAACGTACAAATAAACGATTTCTATTGGCAGTTTCATTTGAACACCCACGGCGGGGCATGTGATCATCGCCCAATGCAAGCAGCCAGCAGCCAGCAACACTTGAAGACGTCATAAAAATACATAGCAAACTGCATCGGCACCGACAAGCGGCACCATAGGCAATTAAATGTCAATTGCAGTAACAATAATCAACAATCCGTTATGAGCATTCAGTTAGCGTTTAATTAGCGCTGATGCACCGCCGTAACATGTAAATGCAAAGTTAAAGAAATTGTGGGTAATCAGTCATTTTAAAGGTGGAGTAATGTGTGCGTCTAATGCACAAATTACTTGAATTAAATATCTATTATATACATATATGCATTTATATGTATGTGTTCACTTCACGTTTGCGTAAAGAAGTGCAGGTCCGCTTCTACTTACATATAACCGGTCGCTGGGGCGCAGCTTCTTTATTCCATTTACGCTTTCATCTAATTAAATCAACAATCATTGCGCGCTGAGCAACAGACAATCAAGCGCAGTCAGTAAAGTGTCTGATTACCGCATTGGCGCGCGGCTGACATCTGTCAGCTTTGAATGGCAAAATGTTGGCGCTTGTATGCGCTTGGATGCGTAATTACATATACAATAACCAATGAGCAATTTGTGGAGAATGCAGTGGCCAGCAGCGTGCCGCGCACAAGTGTTGCGTGCGCTGAAAATTGATCGACACGCGGTTGTGTTTTTATTTTTGTCGCTCACTGTTGATTGCTTTTGCAGTGCAGCATCAGCGTTGCCGCTTTATAATTTTCGAGCGGAGTGAAAGGAGCTAAAAAGTGGAGTGTTTTTGGGGTTTCCGTAGTGTCAAAGTAAAAATGTTGGTCAAACTCATTTTTGTTATACACATACACATACACATACTGTGTGCATATATCTGCGTATATCTGCCCTTTTTAAATACTAAACATTTTTTGCAGTCTAAAATGTGTGTTTGTAATTTTTTTTTTACGGAATTACGGTTTGTGCTATAAAAACTATAAAAATCAAAGTTTCATTCTTTATACAAAATTATGGTATGTTCAATGAATTTTTATAAAAACTTTAAACTTTTTAAAGTATGCACCGTCATAGCCCATTAAATTTTACTATAATAATGTGCAGTGGCTAAAGATTCGCGTTCATTTTTAATATTAATAATATATGAGCGAAATTAATTTTATATAGAAGAAAGTTTATTTTATTTTTCGATGATCATATCATTGCCTTTTTATAATCAGGCAACATTGAATAAGGATTTTTCAACGTTTTATAAACAGTGAGTTAGGTATTTTCAAATTTTAATTTTTTTTTTTTGCAATTACGTATAAACCAGAGACTATAACGATTATATATAAGAAATAAAAATAAATATTGCTGTATAATTACACTGTGAGACAAGTGGTAGGGGTCAGTGATCGGGAAGTGTTCAAACTACCGGGGAAAGTTATATCGGTAAAAAAAGAAGTTATACGTGTCCCGGCGTTTCGCTTGATTATATAGAACAACGTTATATAAACAGATTAAAGGAATTGTAATTTTTAATTTTTTTTTAATTTGTTTGAGCAAAATCGGACTAATGGTTCTAGAGTTATGTCAAAAAAAAGACCACCAAAGGTGACAATTTCCCCTATATGATGGTTATATATATATCTCGATTCCTAGACGTGAACCAGCGAAACGCCGGGACACGTATAACTTGTTTTTGACCGATATAACATTTCCCGTTGGTTTCATCCCATCCCGATTTTGACTGTCGCATAGTGTTATTACCGAACAATAGGCAAGTTGTTTTCGTCTCCTGAGACGCGGGACGATTATTTTAAGATGGAGATTATTTTCATCTTCTCCTAATAACTATCTGGGACTTTTATTTTTTTTCGTCTCGCGGAACGTTTATTTCAAGACTGACATATATTATGAGACGTTAATAATTTCCATCTAAAAATTATCGTCCCGCGAGACAAACAAAAATATATTTCTCATAAATAATTATGATCCCAAATATTAGGATGTAA